CTGAAGGAGAAATTTCCTTAGTAAAATGGAATACAGCCTTTAAAAAAAGGAGAAAGGAAGCAATTCCCTTCTCTATAATTGCTTATTATTCTACAGGGAAGAAAAATAATATATATATGGAAACTTTTTGCTAGCAAATAAAATGATGGGAACCTCTCTGCACAAGCAAAATTAAGTGCATCAAAGTGATCTTTCGGGTTTCTGTTAAATACCACTGCTATCAGTCTGGACAATCTTCTTGGACACCAAAAATATTAAATTTATTTTAAAAACATTTTTAATATGCCACAAATTTGCCTTTGCTTTTTTCGTGTTACAAGGAGAGGATTAGATCTCTCTCATCTATAACCTTCTGTGGCTGATATACTAAGCGTGCTCTACTGGTAACTTACTAATAGGGTAGCAATAAGAACTCTTACGAAAAACCATCAGTTTGCTCAGCTGAGTTCCCATGACGTCACTTACAACAGCACAACTGCCAAAGTAAATGGCTGGGTAGAGCTGCAGTGCCTGTGCTGGATAGGCAATCTACATAATACTGCATGCAGATCAGTGACCAAAGATCTCAGACCTTCCTCTCTAGCATAGACACTCCAATTCAAACAAGCCATTTACTTTGGCAGTCATTCAGATGTTGGTGAGATCAGGAAGATTCAGCTGAACAAACTACTGGCTTCCGCTAGAGTTTCTGTTGCTACTATATTGTAAGGTACTAGCAGTGTAAACTCAGGATATCAGCTATGACGTGCTAAAGATGTGCATCTAACTAGTTGGTCAATTTGGCAACTTCCACAGCCTAGACAACCATAAATATTTTCTAGCAGCCCTCCAAAAAAAACAAATCTGTCTAAAATGGGAAAACATAAAATATTCATGGAAAAACAATATTCTTGGACAAAAAATTTCTTCCCAGGGCAATGTCCTGTTCTAATCTCCCAGAACTGTATGAAATGTCTAAACTAGCCTGAGTGGAGCGATTCAAGCAAAAACAAGGAGACAATCTGGAAATAGAAGCAGATAAGGATGCATGTTTTTTACATTCCCACTGCCTGATTAGGCCAAAGCCATGCAGGAAAAAAGTGCAATTAAGGAGCTGAAATTGTTTACAAGTGAGTTGAACTATACAATGCTGTTCATAACATACTGCAATAAAAACAGCATTAATCCTCAGATATTTGGATAAGGCAGCCCTTGTGACTCATTTTGCAATTAATGTTTTACAGTTTGTTAATAAAAATCAAGACCTAAAAAAAGTGACAGCAGAAAGAGAGAAAAATAGTAATTAGGAGAAAAAGTATAAAGAAATAATAACTGACCACAAAGAAAGTTAAACCATGAGCATGATTACTCCCTGACTAAAGACTGAAGGATCTGAGAATTACATAAATAATTCGGGTTGTTACAGTGATGTTGTAACTATGAAGTTCCAGGAATTATGCAAGAGGCAAGGATTTTTGTGAGTGATATCTTTTTACTGACTACCTGCATGGTTGGGATAAAGTTAGACAAGTTTTGCATGCAAAACTTCATGGGATCTCAGGAGTTAAGCATGCACAGAGATTATTAAGAACAATGGTTACAGCTGTGAAGTTAGAGAGAGGAGAAATTCCCAGGGGCAGCAGACAAACCCAATTACTGGAAGATCAAGACCTATCAAAAGGGAGGGTGGTTATTATCCCCTGTAGAGTGCAGGAAGAATTTCGGGAATCAGGTAGTCATGGGAGAACATGTTTTTAATCTGGATAGGTAAAACTATCTTATTGATAATTGTGTCATTTAGCAGTTTCTGACTCATTAGCTATCAGCTATAAAGTTATTAACAATTTCATCTAAAAGGACAAAACCTCCAATATTGGTACATTGCCTAGGTTCAGGGTTGCACCTGGTACATCAACTGCATTTTGCTATCATAAATATAGATTCCTTCTTGTGTATGAGAAATGCCAAGAAAGGAAATGTGTTATAATGACCTAACTCTACAAGGGCATTCATGACTGATATTTAAATCAAATGAAAATATAGCCTTGCTGCATATTCAAGATGATCAGGTTAATAGGGTTTATTATGAAAGCTATGATGCTTTACTTACCTTAATAACAAGCTTGTTGGATGCCATGACTGTTAGTTCAAAATGCATATGGAGCCTATAAAATGTTACAAAAAAAAAAGTTCAGCATCAGAAAAGATTTTATATCTACATGCCAATGGCAACAAATATAGGGCTAATCTCTTTTTTTCAATGCTAGTGTTATTTTATTTGCAGTAAGCAAAGCAAAGCACCCGGATCTAATTAATTACTTGTACTTTTAGTAGTCCCATTATCATAATATTTGAGCATCTCATAATGGTCAATGTATTTATCATCACAATGCTTCTTCCTGAGGTAATTCACACCTATTTTCAGGTGGGGGCTAAGACACAGATAGGTCTATCTCGTTGTATAGGAAGCTTTTGGTGAGCACTGCAACTCAAAAAACACTGAAATTAGATCACGCAAAACCTGGGCAATTTTTACTTCACTCCAGAAGCTTCTTTTCACCACCTGCAGTTCTTATCCCCTCACAATACAGAACCACATAATTAAATGAATCTTTTCATCCCTGATGAAAACCAAAATTCAATGTTCTAAAGAAGATTCATGTAACATAGTCTAGGACAGAAGCAGTCAAAATACAGCCCACAGGCCGCATTTGGCCTGCCAGAAGATTTCATTCAGCCCACAGGCGGGTGCCTACCAAGTCACAGTATCAGACCCATCCCCGGGGCTGCCCCTGCTGTGTTCACATGGTGCCGAGCCCTGCTCACTTGCATGGGAGCAGTGCGCGCTGCACTCCCACCCTTGCCCATGGAATGGCCCAGACCCTGGCCTCACAGGTAGGTACGGGGCAACAGGTGGGGAAAGGGTGGTGGTGGCAGGAGGGGAAGTGGTGGCAGTGGCAGGTGTGGGGGAGCGGAGGTGGTTGTGGTGGGAGCAGGCAGGTGGGAAGTAGCAGCAGTGGTGGTAGGTGGGAGGGAAGTGTCCACGAGTGGGCGGGCGGGAGCGAAGCAGCGGCAGGCAGGAGAAACGCAGCAGCTTGGCAGGAGCACGGCACCCATGCCAGTGCCCCGGGGCAGATACCAGCAGAGGCGCTGGGCAGGGTGACAGGAACACAGAGCCCAGACCAGCAGGAGCATAGACTCAACCTGGCTCCATTGTGTGGGACCTCCAGGGCTCACATGCAGTTCCTGGGTTCTCAACACAAGCTGTGAGCCTCCGGGGGGAGCCCCACATAGTGGAGATGGTGGCCCGACCCCACTCCCTGCCACGTACAGGTCATGGGGAATGGCAGAAAGCTCTGCGCTATGAAGCCGGGCTGACTCTGCCCCTCTCCCCATCACCCTGGCTAAGCCCCATGGCCTGTACCACCAGTTTCATCACACAGGGCTCTCCCCGGCGGCGCACGGCTTGGGCAAAACCTGGAAACTGCGTGTGAGCCCCGTGTGATGGAGCTCATGGCCCAGCCATGTGCACTCCTGGAGCTCACTAGGACTGCACACTGCCAGGGGTTCTAGCTATCATGGACCATGAGTGCCCCGAGGGCCCACTGCTTGCTGCTCGCAGCAGGGGCTCTGTGCAATGGAGGGGTGAGGGGGCAGTGTTTGTAGGGGGGGACCCACACGTACACCTTACCTTACACACACACACACACACACACACACACACACACCCCCATAACAGTCATGGAATCCAACACCCACCAGGCACACCCCACACCCACTAGCCACACACCCACATTCACCCCATACCCACCCACACACACACCCCACATATTCCCCCAACACACGCCATGCCCCCTGCCCAACCTATTCATCCACCACCACCTACCCACACCCCCCCAACAAACACATCTACACCCCACATACACACCCCCACAACCCCCTACAAACCCCATACTCCCCCACCCAGCCACCCCACCACAGCACGTCACGATATACAAGAGTAAGATACCAGTTTGAGCTATTATGGAATCCCCTCTATACACACTACACAAGCACACACAAATCAAGACAAAAATATTTTTTGAAATAAAATTAAAATATGTTATAGTAGATGTTTGATTTTTAGTATATAATTTGTTTTTATTCCAGTTTCAAGATGGCAAACCCCCCTCCCAAAAGGAGTACTTCTGGGAGCAAGGAGAGGGACATTTGGTGGCAAAAGTCAAGGGTTAGGGGGAGGACTTCCAGTCCCAAGATGGCAACCAAGGGGTGGGGCACCTGTCAAAGAGACTAACAGCTGGGGCATGGGGAAAAGTGACAGCAGCAGCGCACGTCAAACCTCAGATGAGTTTTTCTGGCCTGCAGTTCCTAATATGCATACAGGATAGTGGTGTCAAACTCACTGTCACTCCCAGGCCAATTCTGGACAGCAAGGAGCTCTGGGAGTCAGCTCTGGATCCCGTGGCAACGGCAGGGTGATTGGCGGTGGCATGGGGTCAGTGGTGGCACAAAGAGTAATGGAGCACTCACTCATCCCCACCACTACCCACACATGTGCCAGTGCCCAGTGAGGCTCAGTAGCTGGAAATTCAGTGGTAGGCCCTGCCCCTACTTGAACTGCCTCTAAATTCCCAGCCTATTTGGGAACGCTGCAGGTCAGGTGAAGTGGTTCCACAGTGAGATTTGGCCCCTGGATCAGGTATCCAACACCCCTGATACAGGGAATGTAGCCAGATATTTTAAAGTTGTATTCAGCTTTTAATCATCCCTGTACTAGAAGCTGAATACAACTTCCCTTTATTACAGGTCTGTCTTCAAATGTGACATGTTTCATAGGGGTGCAGAATAGGTTTATTGTACAACATCTGGAGTAATTTGAGCGAGATACAGTACCCTGAAAAATATCACACTGCTTCAGAAAGTCCCCAAATACCCACAATGTTATTTTGTGCAGAATTTGGGCTTAAACCAAGGCTCTGCTCATCCCCAAATTGACCTCAGTCATTCAGACTTATTCTGCATTCTGAATGGTTCCCACAGCCCCTTTGGGGAAACAATATAGAAATAGTTGTTAAAGAAGGAGCTTAAACTTTGTGTATTAACGTGGACGAAACATTCAGGCACCAAGCAGATGGTAATGTTTATCTCAAGAAAGACACAGTGGTCTGTGCTAGGGAGTAGGAGTGAGTAGGAGTGACCTGAAAGTTGGAGGGAGCAGGAGTGACTTGAAAGTAACAGAAATGTAAAGCTCTGAAAATGCAGAAAATATAAAGTTAAGGTGCCAACCGAAGTTAAGGTGCATGCCATCCCTGCATAGGACTGGAGGTCTGGGTTGCAGAAGTAGGTAGTTAGGGACAGGGCTAAAGCAGGACTTGGAAGCACAGCCCAAGGGTTGTAGTGACAGTTTGGACCGGTGTACAGCCGAGACTCTTTAACAAGGGCTGGCAAAATTGGGCCTGTGGGCTGGATTAGGGCTGCAGAGGACTCCATTTCCCAGCAGCCCCTTCCTGTGTCACTGCAGCGGGCAGTGAGCAGCTCCAGGGCTGAGATCTTGCAGTGGTGGCTGTGTGGTCCGAAGCCAGGGCAGAAGTGCGATCCTGCCCTGCCTCAGCTCCAGACCACACTGTCACCATTGCAAGATCCCAGACACGGCCGCAGAGCAGCTCCCTGCTCTGCTAGCACTGCTGGGGCCAGTCTCCGTGGAAACCCTGGCCCTGCACTGTCACAGCGCTTCTGCTGCTGGGGTCTCCATGGAAACCAGCTGCAGCGATGCAGGCAGGGCCTGCTGGGAAATGAAGTCTGACTGCCCATCAGATCCACCATTTTGCCCACCCCTGCTAACCAAAGAAGCATGTAACCACCCTGTAAAGTGTTGCCCCTGATACATACAGAACATCACACAGCAAGGAATAAATGTGTATGTGCCAATGCTTTCTGAAATGTTAATGGCTTAATGAGCTAGGAAAGAGAAGAAACCCAAACATTGGCGGGAGGAGATCTCTGTTGTAAAGGTGAAAAGAGGACACCAGAGGTAGATGTATGTCCTCTCTCTTTTTTTTTTTTTCTTTTCAATTTACTCCAACCACTGGGTGATGAAATTGCCAAGATTTTGAGATGAAGTCTACATCTGAACTCTTTGCATCTGCTGTCAGGCACGACACAAATATTCAAAGCATAGTCATTATCCTCATTCCACTATTAAGAAGTGTACAAGATAAGAGAAGATCCACTTAGGAATAACAAGTCACTTTTAGCCAATCTCAGATCTGTTTTAAGCACAAATCAGCTCTGCTTCTATGAGCATTAACCCCTAAGAAATGGGGGAAAAAATTACCAATAAGAAAAATTTTGTTAATGCACTTACAATTGCCCCTTTATACCTTATGCTCTTCCAGAAAGTTGGGTTTAAACCCCTGATATGCAGCACTGTATCTCAAACTTGAAATAATCATAATAGTCACATACACAAAACAGATTAGAGCACAGTTCACTACCCTAGCCCAGGGGTGTCAAACATACAAGTGTGCAGAACAGCTCTGTCCAGACCACCAAACTACCAGGAAGCCACTGGAAACTGGAGGGCGTGGCCAGGGGATGTGGCCTACTACAGAATCCCGGGTCCTTGGGTCCTAGGAGACACAGTGATCACCTGCAGGATAACGAGCAAAGGGATGATACAGTCCCAGTCACCCTCCAACCACTTTACCTGTTGCTACTGTTGTGGCACTAGTTCCTTGGCTACCAACCCCACTGCTGCTCCATGCTGGAGCTGCTGCCACTGCTGCCTGCCCCATGCCTAAAGCCTGAGCTGCCACTGTGGAACAGGGCACACAGAAGTGGCGGCAGCTCTAGTCCTGGCATGGGACACTTGGCAGGATCTGTAGCTGCACTGTACACCCTGTATCAAAGCCACCACTACTGCTGTGAGCCCCAGACTGGTCTAAGTCTGCAAGAAACTCTGCAGACTGGATATGGCCCAGATCACAAAGTGAGTTTAAACCTCCTGCCCTAGTCAAAAGAAACTTCTCTCATACTATGTTGATTTCCTTGGCTAAGGGATAATGAACTGGGCCAATAAATGAATTTCTCGGGCCAAGTGAAAGAAACACGCCTAGTAAACAAAGAATCATAAATCGTGAGAACAAAGCTAGTTTTTCAATATTCT